ATTCTACTCTCAATGTCAAACTTGTTGAGGGTGTTGGAGAGGCAACAGAAACAAAGGGAAGAAACAAGGCGTAGACGTGCTCAAGAAGATCGGGAAGCCGATGAAGAAGAGGAACTACTGCTTGCAGCAGCGGTTTTTATGATGGATCAATCAAGGCAAAACCGTCGTCCTCGTGCCCCGAATGTGGACAGACATAGGGAGTCTCGGGGTAAGAATCTCATGGAGGATTATTTTATCCCAAATCCGTTATATCCTGCTTCTAAGTTTCGAGAAAGATATAGAATGCAACCACATTTGTTCCAAAAAATCATGCATGATATTTGTAATTACGACACATACTTCATTCAAAAGCATGATGCTGTTGGAGCTTTAGGTCTTATCCCGGAGCAAAAACTGACAGCTGCTTTGCGGATGCTTGCTTATGGGGCATCTGCAGAGCAGGTGGATGAGATTGCAAGGATGGGAAAATCTACTGTCCTAGAGTGCTTGGTGAGATTTTGTGATGCAGTGGAAAATTTGTACACGAGGGAGTACCTTCGCAAACCAACGCCAAGAGACCTGCAACGGCTTCTACAAAAAGGCGAGGCCCGAGGTTTCCCAGGAATGATTGGAAGCATCGATTGTATGCACTGGCAGTGGAAGAACTGTCCTACTGCTTGGCAAGGGGAGTACGGGAATCGGAAGGGCCAAAAAAGTATAATTTTGGAGGCCGTAGCTTCATTCGATTGTTGGGTTTGGCATGCCTTCTTCGGGGTTGCCGGTTCTCAGAATGACCTCAATGTCCTTGGTCAATCCCCAGTGTTCGATGAGGTATTGCGAGGTCATTCCCCCCAGGTCACGTACCAAATCAACAATACCGTTTACTCTGGTGCGTACTACCTTTCCGACGGAATTTATCCTAGGTGGACGACATTCGTGAAAACAGTTCCGAATCCCCAATCCGAGAAGGAAAGAAACTTTGCTTCCTTTCAAGAAGGTTACAGGAAAGACGTGGAGAGGTGTTTCGGTATCTTGCAAGCTCGTTGGGCAATTATTAGAGGTGCTGCTCGGATGCTAGATGAGGAGGTGCTGCGGAGTATTATGATGACTTGCATCATCCTTCACAACATGATTGTGGAGGATGAGTATGACTATGATGCTCAAGAGGTGTTTGAACCCGATCCAATGAACACATCGTTGACAAGAATATATGAAAGGCCGATTGGACCAAATGGACTACCACTGGAGCCCGAACCCTTACTTCGGGATGGTCAATTCAACAACCCCATGATTGATC